GTCTGGCTCCTAAGCCAGGGCTTGAGGCCACCTTCAGAACACAGGCAAGCTTTGTCCCTGAGCCCTCCCTGCCCTCTAGGGCAGCAGGGGCAGCTGGTGGGGCCCAGCGTGTGACTTGGGGCAGATGGCTGCCTGCTCCTGGCCTTGGCCCGGCTGACTCTTCATCCCGGGAGCTTCGACCTCAGCCCCTGGCGGGCAGTGTGGGCCGGGAGCAGCACAGGCCAGGAGTCCCGGGAGAGAGGACAAGAGGCTCCGCGTGTGCGTGAGGTGGGCAAGGGGCTCTGGCCCAGCCTGGAGGGCGGCGCTGAGAGTCTGGCCATCGGCATGGGCCGAGCAAGGAGCCTGGGGCACAGCCAGGCCGAGAGAGACACAGAGGAGGGAACAGGTGGAGGGAGGAGGGAGGAGGGAAGGAACTGAGCACAGAGGGCAGGGGCCGTGCGAAGTCTTCACCATGGAGGCCTCCAGGTTCTCTGGACGTGGTGTCACTCGGGGAGCCCGAAAGTCATCTAGTGAGAACCTGCTGTGAGCCAAATTTCCAGAATGTTCCTTTCAGGAGCTAGATTGAAAGTCACCTCTCTGCAGACACTGGGGGCCTCCGCTGCACAGCCCTCTTCCATGGTGGGGACAGTGGCTGGACGTGTGGAGCCTTCTCAGTGAGATACACCTCCTGCCCTTTAAATTAGAAAAAAAATTTTTTGATAGGTTCTTCTTAATTTAATATGTTGCCCAGGCTGGACTCAAACTCTCGATCCTCCTGCTTCAAACTTTTGATCCTCTGTAGTGCTGTGATTACAGGTATACACCACCACATCTCACTACTTAATATATTCATTGTGAAATTTTACAGGTATGTTATAGGACAAAGACAGTGTTGTCAGGAATTAAGCTTTTTTTTATCATAAGCAGCAAAAGAAGTAAATGTAAAATCAGAAGTAAAACCTCTAGTCTTATATTTCACTTGGGTAATACATGTGTGAATGCCTTTTTTTTGTCTACATTAACTAAATATACATCTTCAGTGTGGCTTGTTCAAAAGCCCCAGCAGGAACAATTGACCTTTCAAAGTCAAGTGTTCTGGTGTGGACCTGCAGTGTCCTGGGCCCATGCTGAGGCTTGGTCACTTTGGGGAGAGGCTGAGCTGAGGCTGAACTGGGGGTCCGTGAGCTCCTTGGGCCTAGAGCAAGGTCAGTACAACAGGTGTCCAGCCTTGGTGTTCCTCCCTGTTAACTACCGAACAGACAGCTCTGAGAATGTTTTGCTTTCAGTGTTCTCAGCGAAACCCTGAGACCTTGCACTTTTAACTGTGTTGTGCTTCCCCTTTTTACTGTGTATAAATGAAGCCACAGACCACACTGCATTGTTGCTGCCTCTCCATCAGAGAGGTGAGGTCCCACCTGGTCCATATTTTCTTTTGTTGTGTCTAGTTTTTTCTTAATCTCCTGGCGTCCCCTCCCAGGGGGCATGCTGGCTGTGATGGTTGCAGCAGGTCACCATCCCATGGCACTCATGGGCAGTGGTGGCACCTTTAGAAGACAGGCCCTCGTAGAGGTTAGGCCACTCCAGGTGCCTTGAAGGGGACATCAGATCCCAGGCCTTCCCCTCTGCACTTCCAGGCCACCATGAGGTAGGCGGCTGTCCTCCTCTTGCCAACCCATGCTGGACCACCACAGGCCCCAGGTGTTCATGGACTGAAACCTCCGATCTGGAATCCCAAGCCAACCCTTCCTCTTTGAGTGTCCCAGGTATTTTGTCACAGCAACAGGAAGCTGACAACCCTAAAAAGAAGGCCTCCGGGGAGATGGCTGCCAGCCCGGGGCAGGAAATGCACAGCGGGAGCCTGGACAGCCATGGGGCCAGGAAAGAGGGAAGACAGAGCTGAGGGCTGTGTCCTTAGCCTTCAGGAGCTGCCCCGGGGCCACCCTCAGCCAAAGACAGACAAAGTGGACCTCAAGAAGCACCCTCCGACTGACTGAATCACGTCTCGGAGCTCCTCCGAGCCGGGTGAGGGGAAGGCCCTGGGCCACCACCGGCCTTTGCCAGCGTACGACCAGACAGCCAGCCCTCCTTTACATGGTCCGACTTGGAATTTTTCAGCTTTACCATGGTGTGCAAGCATAGCCACACAACCACTGGGTTTCCCCAGTGCGCGTGAGCTGTTCAGCACCTTCCAGAGTCTGCGTTCGATGGTTTGCCCAACCCCACGCTAACACAAGTGCTCGGAGGATGTGCAGGGTGGGCGAGGCCAGGGCAGTAACATTTTCCAGGGATCATATTTCAACTTCCGACAGGTTACTGGAGAGGTAGAACCCTGCTGTAAGCTGAGGAACACTGTACTTTGAGAACTGACGGAGGAGGAAACAGGCGTTTCCTGCCTCCCTGTCCCCGCGGTATCTCAGGGTAATCGAATGCATGGTGAGGAAGAGTCCTCTATGGCACCGCAGGCAGTGAATGTGGACAGAACAATGGAGTTCTAGAAGTGCTTTGTAAGCCCTAAGAAGTACCAGGTCCAGGCGACGATGGTCAGTGGCCACTAAAAACCACCAGGTAAAAGACTAGCGGGTGAGGCCGACCCCAGACCCTGAGCAGAAACCCTGTCCCCGGGCCAGGTAAACTACCTTGGCACAGGCCTTGGCAGCATCTGGCCCAGGCTTCTCCTGTTCTCAGGAAATGGGGAGAAAGATGGGTATCAGATGCCACAACAAGGAAGCCGCCAGCTGAATCCAGAATGTGGACTCTCTCTAGGCCCGGTGGCCTTTAGTCTTGCTCTGCTGTCACTGTAACAGGACACCTGAGATCAAGAAATTCATCAAGAAAAGACATTTATTTTGCTCACAGTTCCGGAGTCCAAGAGCCTGGCACCAGCTGTGCTGAGCTTTGGGTGGAGCCTTGTGCCACTTCCCCTCCTGGTAGAAGGCAGAAGGCAGAAGGCAGAGACCAGTGTTTGACTCCTGCTCCAAAAATAAAAAGACATTTTTGAACCATCAGGGAAACGTGCGTTTAACAGAATCAGATCCTATGGAATTACTGAAAATTTTGTTAGCTGCGGCGATGGTCCTCTTCACATGTTCACTGGCTGGTCAGGCGCTGTGCCGCTGAGCTAAATCCCCAGCCCCATGTTCACTGGCTGCACCAGTGTCAGGTGTGTGGTCTGTGAAGGTGTCGGGGGGTGAAGTTCAAATTGAAACGGTGCACTGATAAAGCACTGTCCTCTGCTTGGTGCAGCCACAGGTCTGCAGAGGTCTGACCACGCGTGCAGGAAGGTCCCCCAGCACACAGCTCCCCCTTGGCCCCTGCAGACCTTGGACCTGCACCTCCACAAAGGTGTGAGCGGACTCCTTACAATAACCCCCCACAGCTGCACACGTCCTCATAGTAGTTCTCTGGAGAACCCTGACCAGAGCAAGGGTATTGAGAGTGTTGTTGTGGTTCAAGTGAAGAAAAACTGCTCAGGTCTTGGAAACAGGGTGAATAAGCAGTTTTCTTAGAACAAGTCCAGCAAATCAAACACAAACAGAAAACAAAATAAAAACATGGGGGAAGAGATGGCACAAGACTGGCAAAACCTAGTAACTACTGAAGACAGCGGATGGATACATGGGTCTCATGAAAATACTCAGGACCTCTGTGTATGTTTGATACTTTTTATAACAAAAAGCTTTTATTGACAAGGGAGGTTTCTAGAAGATTCATTATGCTTTCACGATCTGGTTAGACCTTGGGAAGCCCGTCCAGGCTGGCGGGCCTCGGGTGCCTGCCCTGAGCTCCGGGTGGGGAAGGCCTGCTTGCAGGGGGTTAGGACAGCCCAGCCTCAGCACCTTCCTGGGATGTGCAGAGACCAAGGCCACCAGTGCTCTCACCTTGCCATGGAAAGGGGTTTCCCAGGAACCCGGCTAGCAGGAAGGAGCTGGCCTGAGGCCCTTGGTTAGGGACTAGTGACTATTTCGTATACCAAGCTCCTGGGGGACTCAGGGTCACACAGAGGGCTAAAGGCCCATCTGCGGCTCAGGCACTGCAGGAGGCGGGCTCAGGAGAGGGCTGCTCAGAAGTGTGCGCTGGGGGTGGGCTTGGCAGGGACAAGAGTGCCTCTGCTTCCGTGCCGGGAAGCGATGGGACACCAGGGCTGTTTCCAGGGAATCCCTGAGTGTGTCCATTTGGGGAGTCGGCAGTGAGTGTAGCCGGGTCACTCCCAGCGTCCTTGTCTCACCCAGCTGCAGAAGCGCACAGGCCTCGTCCCCAAACAAGGGACAGGAGTGCGGCAGGAACCCCAAAGCAAGAGGAACTCCCCCACGGCCCCAAACCTTGAGCCAAGTCACCAAGGCGCCCTGCAAGGCTGACTGAACAAGACAATTCTAGCTGGGCCGGCCTTTGTAAAGTGCCCCCAAATGGATGGGATCCAAAACCAAGGGCTGTCTTCGGCCATCAGTGACCATGGAGCAGGCTCCCCGTGCCATCTCTGCCACCAGAGTCACAAGACCCAACCAGGAGGGTTGGGCTGTGCCCCAGGCTCTCGTGAGCTCAGCCTGAGAGGTCCTGGGTGTGGACACATGGAGCCAGGATGTCCCCAACACCCAGAGGGCACAACTGAGCAGCAGGTCACGGTCAGGCCCAGGGCCCGCTCTACTCAGACTCTGGCTTTGCGCTGGTGGCTCTTCTAGGGCCACCCTCAGCACCGTGGCTGGCCGTGGGGGCCGTGGGTTTCCCTGGTCCCCTCACAAAGCTGGACACCAGTCTCGCCTGGTCAGCCCGAGGGGCCAGGGCACGGTCAGACGTAGTCCAGAATCTCCGTCTCCATCTCATTCTCACTCCCATCTGAGGGCTTGAAGTCTTCCTCCTCCTCCTCTTCCTCCTCCTCCTCTTCCTCCTCCTCCCCGGACTCAAACATCAGCTGCTGTTTTGCATGGTCAGCCTTGGTCGGGCTGGAGAAGAGAGCTGGGCCAGGAGGAAACAAGGCCGCGTGTGTCCCGGTGCAGGCTTTCCGGGCCCCCGACAGGCTGGAGGGCTCCTAGGGAGCCCTTTCTGTGACCAAAGCCTGGGTCCCAGGGCTGGAGAAGCTGCTCCCGGAAGTGTGGTGGGGAAAGGAGGCCTGGCCTCAGATTGCAGCCGCTGCCCTCTGCACACCTCCGTCTCAGACCCCAGGACACAGGACCCTGACTCCTGCCCAGGCTGCCTCGGTGGGCGGCCAGGATACGGCCACTGGGCTGGGCCGGGGCTCCCAAGGCCTCCCATGCACCGAGGGCAGGGTGAGAGGATCTCCCCGGGCACCGTCTCTTGGGAACAGGTTCTGGCCTCCCTCACCCCATGTGGCTCGCACCTGGCCTCTTGGAGCGGATGGTCTGCCGGATCATGAGGGACATGGTGTCCCTCAGGTCATCGCTGGTCTTGGGGAGGCACCACCCGTCCCGTTCCGTGCACAAATGCTCTGCCCCGTCATTGCGGTGAATGATCTTCTGTAACCTGTGGGCAGGGGGCTGGCATGGGACACGAGACTCCACGGGCGTCTCGGTTCGCAGGAGCCAGGAGGCAGTTTGGGCAGAGGTGGTACCTCGCCGAGAAAAGCAGCGCTTAGAGGGAAGCCTCAGAGGGAGCGCTTGGTCCCAGCTGGCTCCTTGGACCCCAAACTGTGCAGCAAGTGAGGCAGTGACCAAGCACACCTTTCTGGGAACAGTCACCGCCTCCCCCAGATCTCAAGCCACATGTGACAGGCCGCCCCGACCTCCTATCCTGGTGGCCACCCTGCAATTCTTTAAACATCACTAAGAACAAGCGGACGAAAGGTTTCCAGGATCCGGATCAGCCGAGGGAAGTATGCTATGGGCGCACCTGTGAGCGACCGCTGAGGGAGGCAAAGCAAGGGTGCCCTGGTAAGCGGGGTCCCTGCAGCCACCCGGGCCGGTGCCCAGTCATCCGCACGCAGCAGGACCACTGGCGGCGCACGGCCCCCAGCACCGGGTCTGCCTGCTGACTCAAAGCACAAGCCCTGCAGACAGCACTGTGGTCCCGGCCACTTTCCTAGCCCTACCCAGAGTCCTCCCCGCTCGGCTCAGGGCCCCTCAGGTACATACTCCTCCACATTCAAGTCACACAGCTGGTAGAACATCTGCCGATAGGGCGGCAGAGCGCCCTCCCGGAAGATGTACACAGAGTCCTGAGGAGAGAGAGAACGGGTGGTTAGCCAGATCCCGGGTGTTATGGTTTGTGTCTAGGTTTTGCATAAAGGGATGGGCATGAGTCTTTGGGAGGCCAGGGGTGGAAGGTTATGGTTTGGGTCTAGGTGTTCCCTGTAAAGCCTCATGCAGTCATGGGGAGGCTTTTAGAGTTTATGATCGATTCATGGTCCAATGTTGGAATTACGGATGTGAGTGCTACACCTGCCCTGGGGCGGGTAGTTTGCATACAGTGTAAGGGAGAAAGGAGGCTGCTTGCCACTGCTCCTCCCTTTTGCTCTGGTTGCTTTGCCGTTTTCTGCCACCATGAATTGTTGCCCTCTGCCATGTGCTCTGCCTTGGAGCCAGTTGAGTATGGACTGAAACCTCCACGAACTGTGAGCTAAATAAACCTTTCCTTCCTTAATTTTGGGCGCTGGGTATTCTGTCTCAGCAATGAGAGAAAAGTAACCAAGACAGCAGGGCAGACGTGTTGGAAAGCCCCATGCTGCGGGCTCCCGTGGGTCTCTCTATGAAGCTGGCTGTCTCCAGGACCAGGGCGGGTGCAGAGGCCCAGGCTGGGGACCAGATGTGGAGAAAGCGAGCTGCGACGCCCTGGGAGTTTGGGAGGGGGAGATGGGGGAGCCAGGTCCTCTGGGAAGCCCGCCCGCTCAGTACGGGGCTGTGCCTCGCTGTCTGTTCCCGACCCGTTACCCCTCGTTCCCCTGCACTCTGCCTCAACAGCTCTTCCGTGAAGGCAGGGTTTAAACGGGTGTCTGTTTTCTCTTTCCCCTTCCAGCACGCGGTTCTAGAGGCAGGGCTGGCTCCGTGATCAAATCCTTGAGAAGGCAGCTCCCTCGGGCTGCATGCCACCTGGCACTGCAGGAGCCAAGGTCTGCGAAACCCGGGGGAGCAGGCCCAGGGCCACCAAGGCACTTGGAGACGGCTGCGTCCCTCCCACCGTCCGTCTCTGCTGTGCTGGCGCACTCTAACCCTGCCACCTCAGGCAGGGGTTCCATGGGGGCGGGGAGCCTACAGGCTCGGGGATGCACTTCCCCAGGGCTGTGGGACAGCACGGAGCCCAAGCGTGGGAAGGTTCTAGAAAGTGCTGACTACAGCTGGGTGATGCTCGGGCAAAGCTGAGCCTGAGGGTCGGTTGAAGCAGCCCTGGCAGCCCCCAGCTGCACCCCAGATGCTCTGCTTTGGCCCTGAGCTCACGCTCGCGCCTGATTCCCATCATCCCAACGGTGGTTGCAAGGCCTGGGCTCAGGAGAGGCACCCACACAGAGCTGCTGGCGCCAGACTTCCCTCTGTGAGCCCTCTGTCCAGATGATTCTTGGTCTCCATGACTCCAAGTGTTTGCACCCCATGTTCCCTGTGTTTCTGGAAGCCTCCAAGGTGGGAGGGGCGCAAAGGTGCTGGATGGGCCCAAACCCCCTCCCGAGTGCCACCCACAGACTCATCCCCACCTCGGCCTCCATGCTCACCCAGGCCCACACCCTGGGCTTCCAGAGTACCCACCTTGAGCTTGTACTTGTTGGAGGCCAGTTTCCGGGGGCTGGCCATCCCCGATGGGCCCAGGCCCTGCTTCAGGTCATGCATGCTGATGAGCTGGGTGGCTGCATGAGGCAAGGGCAGCGCCTTGGTGAAGAAGGGTGGGAACCCTGCCTTCCTGCACCCCGCCTCCCTCCACAGCCAGTAGGAAGGGCCAGCAGGGCCCTGGATGATGCCCCAGCAATGCCTCCCACCTTGCCACGCACCCCAGTCTCGGGGTCCCTCCCTCTGCAGACAGACCACAGCACTTACGGGTCTTCTTGACAGTGATGGGGAGGCTGTAGTTATAGGTGCTGCGCTTGGCTTTGACGGGCATGTCACCGGAGCCGTAACCTGCAGGCAAGGACAGGCGTGCCTGGAGCCAGGACCTGGCTCACTCCAAGGGCTGGGCGCCGGCCGTCCGCGCTGGAAGCTGACGCTGAGCATGCGTGCGCGCCTGTGTGTGTGGCCTGACTGTGGTTCTGGGGTTAAAACACGGCCTGGTTCATGTCCCAAGACCACAGGTGGCTGGGACTCAGAAAATGGAAGCCCACAGCACAACCAGGACTGCACTGGGACCTTCGCGTCTATGCCCCCACGCCCCAGATTCTCACGGGAGGACGGGGCTTTTGCACCCTCTCCATGCGAACCCTCTTATTACAAAAGAGGTGCTAGAAAAGGGAAAACACAAAAAGCAAAGCTTTTAGCAGTTTCTACCGTATTTCATTCCACAACGGATTCGGAAATCAAGGACTTGGTAAATCTTGGCCTCTGGCAGTTTTCGGGGGTCATAGCCAAATCGGATCCACAGGCTTCTCCAGGGGCCTGTGATCTGGGAACAGAGAAGGTGCGTTGTGAGGCAGTGCCGAGGCCAGGTCCCCCTGCGCCTGGACAGGGCCAGGCCCCACGGGAGGCGGCACAGTCCCAAGAGCAGGGACACCTTGGAGGGGAGCGGTGAGCTCAGGAGCCTCTACCATGGTGCCTGGGGCTGTGCGACGTCACTGCTGTCCTTATGGATCGGATGTCTCCTGTCCTCCGTGGCACTTCTGAAGGACTGACGTCTAGGGGCAAAGCTAAGTGGCACCAGGTGGCCCCCTGGGGTCTGCAGCCCCACTGGACTCCGGCCCTGCCCCCTGTCACCGACCCTCACGGTCTCATCTCACGCAGCTTCCCCGACCCTCAGCACGGCACCCTCCTTGGCAGCTGGGAACCTCTCCAGGACCTCTGGGCACCTCTGCAGTGCCACCCAACCCCCACCCTCCTGGGCTGGGTCAAAGTAGAAGCTGAGGTGGGGCCGAGGCTCCAAGGCCAAGCAGGCTGGAGCCCAGGTGGCACTGCCACTCACCAGCTGCAGACCATGGTGTGACATGGCACCTCCGGGCCTGCGTTCCTCCTCAAAGACAAAAAGGGACCTTTGCTGCCACCTCCAGGGAGGAGCAGAGGGTGTGGATCCAATGCCGGATCCTCACGGAGTTCCCACCGCAAGGCCTTCTCCAGCACAAAATCCCCTCTTCCCTTACTTCACCCTGAAATGGTCCAGATACAGCCTGGAACATTGCTAGGAGGCTGTGCGGAACACCGTGGACACGCGTGGTGGAAACCTTTCCAGCTGGCTTTAGCAAGCTGTCTCAGGAGGCCAGGATGGGAGTGGTGCCAGGTGACAGGGCCACCTGCTGACATCGCCCCAGGGTCGAGGACCACACAGGTGGGAAGTGAGACCGTGCGCAGGCTGGCCAACACTTACCATGTAATAGGCCACGAAGGGAAGCAAGACCTTCAGCTTGTCAGGGTGGACGCTGATGTTGGCCTTCACGGCATTGCGTGACCAGATGGGGCGGATCTCGAACAGCTGGGAGGGTTGAGGGCAGAGGCGGTGATGAGCGCCAGCAGTCTTGCCCTCCCGCTTGGCCTGCCCTGGGTCTAGGCCCCAGTGGGTCTTTCCAGAGGGGACTCAGCACAGAGCAGGGGCTGGACAAGCACGGTCAGTGACCGGGACACAAGAGCCACGGCCCCCACTCTCACGCAGCTCTTGGCCCAGCAGGGGAATGGGGCTGAGGAGGTACAGGCTGCAGCCCCAGGAGCCAACACAGGCCCGAGCTGAGCCACCACGAAGGCGGAGACGTCCTGGCCAGGGGAAGGCTGCGAAGGCCACTGTGCGCAGAGGATGCGGAGGCCACTGCTGGGAAGGCAGCAGGACCGCCACACGGGCTCTCTGGGACACGCCCACCACCCCTGGGAACAACAAGGCAGGCGGAGCCCCCAGGTCAGCAGCGTGCACCTCGCCCAGGACTTGCTGTTCCTGCACGGGCACAGCGTACAGAGGCCCCGCCTCCCACCCCGTCCTGCTGCCGCTGTGGCCAGAGGGGAGGTGCCAGCACACACTCGGCTCCCCCGGCTGCGGGTGCCAGCTCTGCAGTTCTATCACCTTCCAACCATGCACCCAGGCCTTCAGCACCCAGAGCAGTTGCTCAAGAATTCCAAGAAGTGTCTTCAGCCTTGGGATTCGGGACTTACACTGGCACAGCTATCATAGGTGACAGCTGGAGGGGAGACAGGCCCAAGCACCACCAAGCCAGCTTTAGCAAAGCCAGCCCCAGTGACAGGGCAGCTGGTAAACAGGTGGTGCCGATGCTGATGTCCAGCAGGGCTGGCCAGGCGGACTCACCTTCCTGAGCTCCTCCTCCACCTCCTGGTCAATGGGGTTGGTGCAGGCCTTCTTCCACGTCTGGGCCGCAGCCTCCAGCGGCTGCATGGGCACGTCGCTGTCCTCGAAGTTGACAAAGATAGCGTTGTGGGGGCGCCGGGCCCTGCTGAGGCCGATCAGGTTCTCACCGGAGATGGGGGGGTTGTTGTAGCCTTCCCTGGGGGCAGAGAAGACCGCTGAGGACGGGGAGCCTGGCAGACCTGCCATGCCAGCAGCAGGCCCTGTTTCTTTGCTGGAAACAGGGTGAGGAGAGGGTCTCACCGGTGGCTGCTGAAGGACCTGTGTCCTCAGGCTGCTGATCAAGGAACAGAGGGCCTGGAACTGCGAGCAGCAGCTCACGGAAGCCTGGGGCAAGACCCAAAGGGCCCAGAGGCTGGGGTCTGGGAAGGGTCTGGGAAGGGTCTGGGAAGGGCACCTGTCACAAGCCGGTGGCCTTGCAACCACACTGAGTCCGGCCCAGCGTGATCCAGTGAACAGCAGGCCACAGTGCAAGTGTCCAAGTGTCAAGGGTGGTAAAGACAGGAGAGGTACAGCCACACCCCGAGCCACTGGGAAGGTGACAGTGACGAGCGCTATACCCACCAACACTGGCCTTTACATGGTTCATTTATTTAGCCCTCACCCGATCCTACAAGGAAGCATCTTCCAAGGGAGCAGCAGGCCACAGGAATCAGGAGTCTGGCCCCAAAAGCCGTGATACAGGAGCTGGGGACTCAGCCCCAGGGAGCCCCGATCCAGCTGTCCCTCAAGCACCTAGCAGAGTGTGACCCGGGCTCACGGGCATCTCAGCAAGCTGCTGGTGAACGAGTGAAGGACGCTGCCGAACGGCAGAGGCTGGAGCAGGTGCTCTACCCGTGCACACCCACGGTGCGTCCCACACGGGAGTGAGCCCGCCCGCTCGGCCTTGGGTGGCGATGCATCCTCTGCTGGGATGTTAACAGTGGGCAGGCTCGCGTGCTTCCCACGTATGGGACAATTCAGTACCTTCCTCTTAGCTTGCTGTGGACATAAACTGCTCTAAAAGGGCTTAAAACAGCCAGGGGCATGGTGGTGCATGCCTATAAGCCCAGCACTCAGGAGGCTGAGGCAGGAGGATCGCTGTGAGTATGAGGTCAGCCTAGCTATAAAATGAGTTCAAGGCCAGCCTAAAGTGCATAGTGAGACCCTGTCTCAAAAGGACAAAAAAAAGTCCTAAAATACACATGCAACGGAGCAAGTGTTGAAGAACTCTTGGTGGGTGCTGGCATGCAACACACCTTGGTGGACGCTTCCCACACACCTGTAGCGGTCACCCCTGGACACTGAGGCAGAAACAGGGAGACTGGGACAGAAACCCCTGGCTTGAATGGACACCATCACAAGGCTGCTTCCCTTCCTCCAGACCCACCCATGCGGCACTGGGGAGTACACTGTAAAGCACGGACAGCACACAACTGCTTTTTCTTTCTTTAGCACTGGAGATTGAACCCACACCCTTACTAGAACCCCAGCCCTCTTACACTTTTTGAGACAGGGACTCACTAAGTTACTCAGGCAGGACTCAGCCTTGCAATCCTGCCTCAGCCTCCCAGAGCACTGAGATTACAGGAATATATCACTGTTCCTGGTTATATCACAGGAGTTGATTCAAGTGACTATCGCCTTTTAAATTTGTTTCCTCTTTAGCTTCTTAAAAATGTATCTATTTACTTATTTTGGTTTTTTGAGACAGGGTCTATGAGACAGACTGTACAGTCCAGATCAACCTTGAACTTGTGGCAATCTTCCTGCCTCTGCCTCCCTAGTGGGAGGATTATAAATGTGCTCCACCACACCCAGCTTACCCTTATTTTTAAACAGGGTCTCATTACTATGTTTGCGCAGGTTGGTCTCCAAATCCTGGGCTCTGGAGCTGCTCCTCACCCTTCTGAGTAGCTGGGACTACAAGAGGAGAGCACTTCTCCCAGTTCACATTTTACCGTCCCTACATGAGGCCGTCTGCTGCATACTTACAGAACATAGGCCATTCACACAGTGGGAAGCGAAATTTAACAGGCAGGGCCAATCTGTGCCCTTTAAAAATGTGCCCAAGAGAAACCACCCCACACAGGTCCATTACCCTGCTCTTGAGCCCAGTCCAGAAACTCGCGACCCCCAGGAAGGGAGCCAGGCGCCACCCCGCCCTCCTGAGCGTCAGGGCAGGGACAGAGCTCAGGACTGCTCTCCTGCCCACGGCCTCCCACGTGGCCCGGGCTGGGCTCAGTGTCCCCGTGACCCTAAGGTCATGCAGAGCTGTTGCAGGGGCCCCGGGGACCACAGTGTCAGCAGGGCTCCCCTGGGGAGCAGGGGGCTCAGAGGCCTGAGTGCAGGGACCCATCCGGCCCGTTTCTCCAGCCTGTGGGACGCACAGCCCCACGCCCGACGCACATCCCCAGGCCCCAGGCACAGGCCGACAGTGCCTGGGAAGAGCGGCAGGTCCTTCCACGTGCTGGAAACTGGTAAGTCACAGGGGCAGGGGAAGGCCTGGGGACCCAAGGGTGGCCGGCCCCTCCTCATCCCCGCTGCCAGACAACGGAACAGCAGCCCGCTGGCCACCCAGGGCGGGGAGGGGACTCTGGTACCCCACCCAGTGCTGGGGGCAGCTGTGCGGGGGGCCTTCCACTTTCTTCTGTGTATTTTTGTCTCTGACTCAAAAAAAATCAAAACATTTGGAAATATGTAACCGAGAAAAAGGGATCATACCGCCACCAGCACGCCATGCTGGGAGGGCGCTCAGTGGGAGGCCGTGCCGTGCGAGCCTTCTCAGCTGCAGGCTTCGGGCGCTTCTAAGAAGCACAGTCTACTCTCACAAGCAGGGCAGGCGGGGAAGGGCGGGTGTGCCAGACTCAACGGGCACGGAGCTGCAAGCAAAAACCATACTGAGGCCCTGGGTGGCTCCCGAGCCCCTTTCGGGTCAGCTGGGGAAAGGAGCGAGGCCTGGCTCGGCGGGGGTTCATTTCAGAGGCGCAGTGAAGTCTGCTCAGCACTGTGTGCCTGCCGCAGCTGCGCGCACAGACACACTCCTGGGCTCCAACCATCCTCCCTCGGCCTCCCAAGTCGCTGGTACTACAGGCGGGCACCCCCATGCCCAGCTCAGGGGGTTTTCGTAAAGGCAGAGAACAGTGCACCTCCGAAGATGAGATGTAAGCCCACTGCTTCACTGCAGGAGACCTTACATGGCCGGTGCCCCCAGCTCTGGGGCACTAGCTCCCAGCTCCTCCCCTGCATGTGCCAAGTCCCCGGTCTGGGATTCCCCTCGGGTCTTTGCCTGCCCAGCTCTGGTATCACCCTCAGTTTCAAAGGTCAGCTCCTGTATAGCCCCCTGAGCCCCTCTGCCACCCCACCCAGTACCGCCTCTTTAGGGGACCTGTCCATTTGCTGGTGTTCTACGGCCATGCGGCCCATACACCGGGCTCTAGAATCTGCCCCAGCACCTGCCCCTTCCGTGGCATGAGACCCGGATGTCAGCCATGTCAGCCCAAAGAGCCCGCCTTCCCCAGGAAACCTCCTTAACGAACACCACCACCTATCAGCCACGCTCAGGCTGGCCTCTCCCTGCGCCTGCCTGTCGGCACAAGCCTTGCTACCCAAACGCTTTCTCCACGAGGCCCGAAAGCACTGTCCCAGGCCCGGCTCTGCTCGGGGCACTGAGGTTACCGCGGAGAGCAGAGCAGGCCAAACTGCGACCTTCAGAGAGCTCACGATAAAACGAGACGTTTGAAAAACTGTTTTGTGTGTCTGGTTTTAAAAAAAGAAAGCACAAGAAACTAAGGACAGGGTGGGTGGCACTGAGCCCCGAGCAAGGGTCAAGGAGTTCATGCGACAGAAACGACGCTGCCCACGTGGCATGGCCTCTGAGTCTCTGCTTCTGCGTGGGTAAAGTGGGTGCAACAGAGTCCTGGCAAATCACTGCGGGGCTGGGGTGCCCCCAGGCTCGGCAGCTCCTCACAGGCTGCTGAGCAAGTGCAGGAAGCCGGGGAGCGGTACTAGCTGGGTGTCGTCAAAACCTTTCCTTCACTTTTGGCCATACTGTTGCGTCCTGGCTTTCCTACAAGGGGAACCCTGTTCCTCCACGTCAGCGCCGCGGGGCTGGCCTCCAGGGAAGAGCCAGCGTTTGACAGTGCCCAGCTGCCCCTCCAGCACCCCACCCCGCAGTTCTGTCGCAGTCCTGTCGCATGCCCTGCATCTGAGTCACATGTGGTCTCAGGGGCTGAGTTGCCATTGGGCTGTTCATGCGCCTCATGCAGCAGAAGCCCCCACTGACTCCAGAAACACCCACAGACTGCAGCCGAGGACACAGCAGGCAAGATCTGGGGAGTCGCGGCCAGCTGGAAGGGACACCGGGAGACGGGTGGGGGCTGGGCAGACCCAGACCGGAAGTGCAGACAGTGCAAACAGGTTGGGCTCTGCAGGTGACCTGGAAAAGGGACACGGCAGCGGAAGGCTGGAAGCCAAAGATGGCTGTGGGAGCCCTGGCGGGACAGAACGGGGAGGCCGTGAGGGGCGGCAGGCTGCGGGGTCAGAGCGGACGTGCGCAGGCAGCGTTTTGTGGGTGGTGAGAGGTGGCTGGGCAGCAAGGCCAAGAGATTAATTAAACTGGAGACCACGGCTCGGCAGGGACCCTCCAGCCCACAGCCAAGTCCTCTGCGTGTTAAGGGGCCTGGCAATCACCGGGCCAGTGCTTATCACGGTCTCGGTCTGTGCGCGGCCCGTGGCTAGGATTCCTGCTCTTTAATCACAGTAACGGTTGAGCAGGAATTGCTGCTACCGCACGTGTGGGATGGGAAACAGGCTGAGGGGCGCACCCGAGCCTCTGGACTCTTGGGCCCGGGGCTCTGGCTGCCGGCCCGGCTGAGCCCAGCGCTGCCGCAGGGCGCCAGTCCTTACCGGTGCTGCGTCTCTGGCCGGTAGTAGTAGTCCACCGGGGTATCCAGGCGGGAGAAGATGGGCGGGGGGATGTAGAGCGGCAGCTCCTGGTGGAAGAAACTCTCCTTCTCAGGCTTGAGCATGAACACTTTGTCATACATGGACATGTGCCTGCCCCCTGCGTCCGTGTGAATGGCCAAGTACTGGAAGTCAGACATTCCTGGAGAGAGAAGTGGGCGGGTGGCGGACACTGCGAGAGGGACACGGGCCCAGGAACTGGTTGCTGCCACAATGACACCACATCCTCTAGGGAGGTGCTGAGAGCTGGGAGATGATGGTGGTTCGGATGGAAACAGCCGCCTCCTCCCGAATCCACAGCAGGCCCAGAAATACCCTGACAGCACACACATTTCCGTTACCCTGGAATTTAAAAATGGTGGAGACAACGCCCAGGATCTCCATGTCGTAGGTGACCCTGGGGTGTCCCTCGGCCTCCAGCGCCCCTCTCCGCCTCCATGTCTTCTTCCTGATCCGCAGCAGCAGGCTGCTGGTACTGAAGCGGTTGGCACACACGGGGTGGCAGTATAGATCCTTGGGCCGGAAGTACAGCTCCAGCCTCTTGGTGGGGTCTGTGTAGATCTGCAGCAGGGCGGAGGGAGACAGACGGAAGCAGTGAGCAATGCAGCCAACCAGCGACTGCTCTTCTCTCCCCGAAGACTGACAGTAACCTAGGAAAGGCTGGGAGGCTTGTGGTTCCCTCCGAGCTGTTAATTCTCAAAAGACTCTGTGTGCAGTGGGGGTTGGGGGTACCAGGGCTTTCGCACTGTGCTATATCTAGCCCTTTTTTATTTTTTAAGACAGGGTCTCATAAGTTGCTAAATTGCCCAGCGTGGGCTTGAACCTTCAATGCTCCTGCCTCAGGCTCGGATTACAGTGCTGGGAGTGCTGAGAGTGCTGGGATTACAGGTGTGTGCCACCATTCCTGGCTCGAAAGACTCATTCTAAAAACTCAAGTGCAGGCAAAGTGTGGTGATACATGGCCGTAATCCCAGCACGTGAGGCTAAGGCAGGAGGACTGCCTAGAGTTTGATACCAGCCTGGGTGACAAAGTGAGCTCAAGGCCAGCCTGAACTGTGTAACAAGATGTTGTCTCAAAAAGAAAAAAAAAAAAAAACCCTGAAGAGAAAGTTTCCTTCCCCCTAAGAGGTTGTAAAGTTGGAAATAAGAATGGCCAATTAAGAAAAAGCCACGCCATTGTAAATGCCATCACAATTGGACTCTCCCATCATAGGTGCTAGTACCATCCTTGGTTTACCTTTGAGGTAGCTGAGGTTTGTAGGGTTGAGTGACCTGCCTAGGGGGCTACCCGCTCTACAACCACCCATCCTGCTACAGGGCTGAACGGGTATTCAGCCTCCTATGCAGATGTTCGTATGTCTGTAGCAGATGGAATCAGCCAGTAGTAAGCACTTTGGCCTGTTACCTATAACTTCTGAAGCCATGGTTCTTTCTCCTTAAAAGCTCTTGATACCCACCTCATAGCACTGTTACAACTCAATGAAAACAAGTGCAAACACTCCGCCTGGTGCCTCACTCTCAGGAACACTCAACAGGCGTCACTCCACACAGGGTAAGAGGGCTGCTGGGGCTGTCGGGTGTGTGGGTCTGAAAGCAGCAGCAACACACTCTGGAGGTCACCTGCACGCTGGTCGGCAGGCTCCCCATGCCCGGGACAGGGCCTGACCCTTGGGAAGAACTCAGGAGCAATTTGGGGGGGGAGGAGGGCTGCAAGGGGGCTTGATCTTCAAGAATGCCCTTTTCCTGAAACGAACACCTCTAAGCCTGGACAGGTGCACTTGAAGGCACAGATGAGGTGATCAAGAAACACGAGCAGAATGGAGGGGTGAGGAAGGGTCCTCCTCAGAGGTTGCAGGCCATTGCTGGGCACAGTCACCCCTGGGGTTGGTGAGAGGAAGGGTTGTGTCACGGCAGACAAAGGAGTAAGTCGGTACAAAAGAAGCACTTGTGAATGACTGAGGCTCTACTGACACCTGCTGCTGCAGCTTAAGCATTAGTTCCTAAAATGTAGACACTGAGGTTCCTGCCCTGGGAGATTCTAAGGAGGATGGAATGTAAGCTAAGCATCTAGATTAGACTGCGCCTAGCACAAAATAAGATGTCAGCTAATACTGCCATTACAGCCAGTAATAACTGAGTCCACGGGGGCGGGGGGGCGTTGATTTTAGTTTGGGGTACGGAGATTGAACACAGGGACTTCGCAGTTAGGAGTATCTCAGTCCTTATTTATTTGTAACTCTGAGACAAGATCTTGCTAACTTACTAAACTGACCAGGCTGGGTTCCAACGTGCAAGCCGTTGGAGCGGTGGGATTACAGGCCTGCGCGGACACGCGGGGCTGCATCCAGTTTTTAATCTCCCTGCGCTCCAGCGATGAGGACGAAGCAGCTCAGCACATCCTGCGGGGCTGCGGCTGAGGGGGACGCGCTGCACCTTATGACACGGATGCGCTAGAGCCCGCCGGGTTTCCCTACAACCCCTCCCGCTGGGGGTGGGGAGGAGCCCCGCCCACCAGCCGGCCCAGGACACGCCTTTCTCGGTTGCCAAGGGAACCACCCGGCCGGCGGGCCCCGCCCCTTCGGCTGCAGTCCCCAGCACGGTCCCTCCCGCGTCGTCCTGGGGATTCCGGGCTCCTTACTCGGGAGACGCCTTCCTCGCCGCCCAGCGTCTGCAGCATCTTGGCCACATCGCGCACCCCGCCCGGGTACTCCACGCACACCAAGCTTCGCTCCCGACGCAGGTCCACGGGGACGGCGGCCTTCGGGCCCCCGCCGACCGTCTCCGTCGCCATCCCTGCTCGCCTGGCCGGACCCGCCAAGGTGCGTCACCTAAGTCTCCCCCAGAAGCCTGGCCTCAATTGTTCCACGAAGGAATCGTTCCGGCTTCCCTCAACGCTCGCGTCTCCCTAAATCCTCAGGCTCTGTGGGACTCGAGGACCTCCGGGAAGCAAAAGCCAGAAGACAAACACCATGGAGTTCGGGATAAAGGACGGCAGAGTCCTCGACTTTTTATTTAAAATAAGTAGGTTGGGCCGAGGGACAGGACAACGGCTTTCTCACCAGCCAGCCAGGGGGAAGACTATAAAGACACCACCGATTTTAGCCAATCAGGAGCCCTGAGGAAGCCAGGTTCCACCTCAAGTTATTGGCCAATAGGAAATCAAGATTTGGTCGTGTTCCTCTTCTCTTGTGGTGATTTCACCCAATGAGGGATTCGGGGCGGGCTCGAGGTAAACTTCCGGCCTGCCTCCGGGCGTCTGGAGCTGATTTCCGGTGTCCTGCACGCTGTCGCTCTCGTTCTTCTGGCCGGTCCGTCACCGACTTTCTAACGGCGCTTGAGACCGCAGGGAGTTGTGCGTGGAGATGGCGGGAGCGAGGGAGTGGCTGCGCTAAATGCGCCCCTGACTTCCACCCTCAGAAGACCTTCGGGGGCAGGATGCAGGCACCCCAGTTGGTTAATTAGGGAAATGTTAAGCACCCGATGTGTGCTCCTAATTTGTATTTGTGATTATATTGTAATTGAAAGACTCCGCCAGGAGCCCCAAATCTGCAAGAAGGACGCCTCTGATAGAAGGAAAGCACATATTTCAGCAGAGCTGCGCATGGTGGACCCTGACCTCGCCAGCAGCGGCTATTTGGGACCCATATTAAATATTTGTTGAAGACTTCAATTTATGTTTTACATCGCTCCCACTAATGCCCACTGAAGGAATTAGTCCTGCGAAGCTGACTCCAAACGGTCCCACCCTCCAGTGTCATGGCCTCTGGTTTCACCTGCACTAACGCTTCTCTTGAGGGAAGCAAGAGTGATGTTTCTAGAATAAAATCACCTCGTCTGCCCCTGTCGCCAGGGGCTCCCTTGAGGTAGAAGAGGTAAAGTTATGTAGAAAGGAGACAAGGAAATCAAAATTTTAAAAATCGTATTTTCAAGAAAGCCTGCAGCTTCAAAACACAAGCCTGGGTTCATCTGTTTTTTGTTTTTTGTTTTTTTCTTCTCCTGAAACAGCAAACGTGGGCCCCTCTCTTGCAGCTGCTAATGGGTCTGCCCATTCCCATTTGCTTGCAAACGGCCGTCTTTCGCCCATGAATGGCACCCTTTTGGCATTTTCTAGAGGAAGACCTCACTATGGTGGACCGTCCCCTCCCACCCTCTAAAACTAAGACTGAGGCTGTAGATTATCGATTTGCACCTCCCCGAACACACAGAAGACCCCAGTCCCAACCAGTCCCGTGCTTCATGTCTTTGAGCATCCTCCCTCCACCCTTGCGTGCGTCCTGTACCTTCCTCTAATAAATCCTCACGTCTCTTCTACTGAATTGTCCTGAAAATTCCATTTCCGCTGGTGTAGGAATTTTATCAGACCTCCAAAGATATAGGGGAAATATCTTAACTCCCACCTGCTAGATGTCAGATCGCCGAGTGTGTGTTCCCCAAAATCACAGAGTGAATGCTAAGGAACGACGCAGCTGCAGAGTAGGAAATACTTATTGAGAGGCAGGGCCTCTGAGTGAGAGAGGAGAGAGTGCCAGTGGGCTGCCAGTGAGCCCACCTCTGAAAGGAGGTTTCATAGAGTAAAATCCTGAGGTGGTGCAAGGTGGGGCAAAGCAATAATCAGCCAGTAAGGTTTTAAGTATAGCTTCTTGGGTAGTGTTGATCCAGTGGGGAAGCAGGTCACGTAGCAAGTGTGCATGGAAAGAACCTCTTTTGGAAGACCTGAGTCAGGAGGTCCTGGTCACCCACTGGGTGACTGACGTCTGTCTAGACTTCACTGGACCAGGTAGAGTCTATTGCTTATCCTTCGGGGAGGTGTGCAGGCCTGGTCCTTCCATCTGTCTCGAGGCCTGGCCTTCAGTGCATGCGACTCCAGCCACAGTTGCATGTGTCCTCATCTTCTGCACTGAATCCTTTGAGGGCCTGGCTCTGTCTGACTGCCTGTATTTTTACCTAACTTAGCTGTCTGTAATAACTGGGTGGGAATTCGTGGACCTGCACAGTTATTTTAAGAGGGTAGATTAAGTTTCTTATTTCAGTCTCAGGACCCTCAGACCCCGCCCGTGACACCCTCATTTCTCCTTCACCACCTGGATGACTGCACTCCATACTGAAGGTTCGGCGCTGCATAGATCTTGTTTTCTTCTTTTTTAACGGGCCCTTCTCCCATCAGAGCAGAGCTCTCTGAGTGCAGGACCGTATCTGTCTGGCTTACTCCTGTCTGCCCAGGCCTTGGCACTGGGCCGGCCGTACAGCAAGTGCTCAAGACAGATTTACCAGGTGAGAGAATGAGTCCACTTGACTCATCCAGGCCTTCCGTTCAGTCCAGTGCCCAGGTCAGGGCGTGGCCGCAGGGACACTCAGTAAAGGCTCATCTAATAGAGAGGTGTCCCCAAAGTGCCTGGAAGCCAAGGACAGGCTGGGAATGAGGCACTGACAAGGACCAGTCTCAGAGATTTGGTCCTGCCCGAAGCCGGGGCAGCGAGGGCAGGCCAGGAGCAGAGAGAGGACAAGAAGGATGGGGACAGGAGAGAGGAACAGCACCCACACCGGGGCCGTTTAACAAAGGCTCCCTAGCGTGGGTGGGGCCTGTGCTAGGCTCTGCCGGTACAGCCAAGAGAAGCCTGCGGTCCCTGCCATCTGAGCTCATGTTTGTGTAGCAGAGATGGCTGACGAGAGAGATCAAGGGGTGGGGGCACAGCCCAGTGGTCCAGTGTGTAGCTAGAAATGTAAGGCCCTGGGTTGGATCCCCAGCACCCCCTTCCCAAACAGTACCCGTCATAATACCAAGCACGGGCATGGAGGGGGAACCTCGGACCATCTCACCGTTTCCTGCCATCAGCCCTGCCCACGGGCCCGGCCCCTTCTCCAGACCCAGGAAGTCACACGGTGAGTTCTTGGCCAGGACTTCCGTCTCCCAGCCCAGGCCCAAGCACTGAGGGGAGAGATGCCGGGCCCAGCCCGGGCTGTCCCAGCGTCCAGCTGAATCTCAGCCCCTGCCCCTGCTGCACCGACTTGGGGTCGGGAACACAACTGTTCGTCCTCCAGGGTGACCAAGGGCAGTGGGAGGGGCTGCTGGCTGGTGGGGAAGACCAAATCCTGCAGGGCAAGAGCTGTGGGAAGCAGGCCGACACTTCTGCCCACTCCAGGCCCCTCCCGTTTGTCTCCGGACCAGGGCCTTGGATACTGATGCTCTGGGGGAGACACTTCCGTGGGGGGACTGGGAGTAGTGGAAATCAGTCTTCTGTTTTTATCTGTTTGGTGGTACTGGGGCTAGAACCCAGGGCTGTGCACACGCTAGGCAAGCCACTCCCAAGCCACCCCCTTTGGGCTTTTAGGACTCACAGTGTAGCTCAGTGGTACAGCACTTGCCTAACATGCATAAGGCCCTAGGTTCATTTCCCAGCACTGCAAAGAAAAGGTTCCTCTGGGCTCCAGAATCTGAATATTCCTTCTTAGGGCGCTAAGTCTGTCTGTGAGGCACGCAGTGGTTGTTTAATGTTCCTTTGCTCCCACTGGTCTCTGCGGCGTCCTAGATGGGGGTGGGGGGGGTGGGGGGGTGTAGTCGTAGTGCTTGTTTTTGGCCACGAGATGGTGACAGAGCGCCCTGGTAGGCAATACCGCCACCTGGTGGTCACAGTTGCCCATAACACCTTGTGGTCATAATTGCCCGTAGCTGTCCAAAAAACACAAAGCGGCCACTGAGGGAGGCGAATCCGGGTGGCGAATCCCCTAGGGAGCTCGATAGCCTCAGGAGAGGCCTGTGCTGGGCCGGGGGTCAGAGTCCTGCCGTAGACGACGACGCCCGGGTCTAGGAATTCTCCCACACAGCCCCGCTGCTGGGTAACAGATGAGGGGACAGGGCCTGGGGACCGTCCTGAGCTCCTGCCCAGAAGTTTCCCCTTTACCGCCCAGAGGGATAGGCAGTTGCGAAGGACACACTCCTTCCTAATCAACCTGTCATTCCTGAACAAAATTAAACCAGTAAACGCAGGTCTGAATTGCAAGGTTTGTTCGTAAATAGAGTTTACATTGCCAATCTCAATATTTTCAAAAAAGTGGAAGAGGCAGGTTTACGACGAAGTTATGAAAGCAGAAGCATCCAGACCCCCTGGTGCAGGCTCCTTTTGTGGCACCCCTCCCTGTCACTGTGCACTTGTGTCGTGTTTTCATAAAAGGTATTTTAACTGCAGTTGGTTAAGACACCTGTTGCGCCCTCTGGCCTGCCCTCCCTCCACAGCCCTGGCGGTGCAGGACGTGGAGGCAGTCATGGGTTTGGGGCGGGTTTCCCTCGGGGAGTAGAGCTGGGAACGCACGCAGCCTAGGCTGAATGAAATAGTGGGTGTTGCCGGCGCCTTTCGTTGGAATGGCCTTCACACCCCTTCCGCTCTCTGCGACGGTTCTCTCACACTGTGACCTGGAAGCCCAGCGCCAAGGGAGGGAGAGTCTTCAGAGCTGTAATCCAGACTGTGGGAAACTCCACCCACCAGCAGTGTGCAGAGCCGCAGAGAGAGAAGGCAGGATGGCGCCACCTCTGTGAAGACAGGAGGGCAGCTTCTCAGAAAATTTAAACAGGAAGTGCGCGGGACACAGCAGCTGGTCTTCTGGGTGTGTACTCAAAAGAGCTCAACCCCAAGGACTGAGCGTGGGTCCCAGGGAGATCTCTGCGCACCCTTGTTCACGGCAGCATGATTCCAGACACCAGAAGGTGGAAGGGCCTGAGTGTCCATCCGTGGAGGAGTGAATAAGCAACCAGGGTGTCTGTCCCCAGGGTGCCATTCAGCCCTAAAAGGGAGGAAATCCAGACAGCTGCTACATGCGTGAGCCGTGGGGCACTGTGCTCCGTGAGACCGAGGGGACACAGTTCAACAGCGTCACACGCTGTCCCCTCATTGCCCCACAGTCCCTTAGGAGGGGCCGAGACAACTTGTCTCAGTTTCCTCCTGGTTACTCCTGCTCTCCGGGCTCCTTGGTAGGAGATGTGGCTTGGCTGTCGGCCTTTGTGCCCTCCTCCCGTCCACCTCTCTGAAGAAGTTCTCCCTCCTTCAGGAGGGTTCCAGGTCCATTATCATTCCCGACGCCCACAGCCCCGTCAGCCTCCCGCACATCCTCAGTGCCCGCCCTGCCATTTCTGCAGACACAACAGCTGTCAGTCAAGCAGCTGCGTCATCTGATGCTCCTCCCCCAATGCCATGGTGACCGCTGTGCCTGTCCTGGACGCCTCACACCCACTACAGCAGGTGTCTGCCCTGACTGCAGCAGGCTTGAATTTGAACGAAGCGGTAGAATTAAATTTGGACCAATCAGTAGGCTCAACTCACAAGGCGGGAGTTTGAACACATTTGGACCAATCAGCAGGCTTGAATTTGGACCAATCACAGGCCTGCTGCTGCTGTACAAGCACCACCTCTCTCAGCTTTTAGGGTTAGTCTAAGACGATTCCTTCTTGAGCAGTGAACCCTCTTCTGCAGCTCAAGTCCTGCTCAAGTGAAGCCTCACTCTGGTGATCCTGTGAATCTACGCATGATTTGCTTCTCAGGTAGACTGGGCTCAGAAGTCCGCATAAATCTACTTGAGATGCTTATCCATAGTCTGAACAAAGTGGTCTCTTTACAAAGAGCCGTAGCCTGGTGTGGTCTCGCACACCTGTAATCCCAGCACTTAGGAGACTGAGGTAGGAGGACTGCTGCAATTTCGAGACGGAGGCCAGCCGAGGCCACATAAAAAGAGTCATACATGCTTGAGGGTTGTTGACCCTGAAGAGCCTCAGAAATCAGCAGCTGACAAAGATCAGCAACAGGGAAAGCTGTAACCCTGAGGGCTCGAGGGCCATTGGCGCCCAAAGACCAGAGCCAGCAGAGCTGCACCGTGCCGGTTAGTGAGTTCTAAATGAATCAAGCAAAGAACCCTCAACTAGCTGATGACAAAATAAGCCAGACATGAAGAGGCAGAAGCCAGATGGCCCCACCTTGGTGAGGTCCCTAGAGTACTCAGCCCCAAGGAGACGGGAAGTAGAAGGGGGGCTGCCAGGATCCAGGGAGGGGCATGGGACTCAGTGTTCAATGGGTACAGGTTCCAGTGTTGCAAGAAGCAGCATCCTGGGGATGGATGTGGTAAGGGTTGCACAGCAGCGTGAGTGTCCTCCGCAGTACTGAAGACACTACCTAAAAATGGCCAAGGCGGTAAACTGTTGTTTTATGTGTTTCACCGTGAAAAACTGCAAGCTGGAGATTTGATTCTTGTTGACACTTGGCAAAATGGAAGCGCTGTATGGTCAGGAATAAATGCAGTGAGACAGAGTATACGATACTAAG